ACCCCCTCTGCAACCCAACACCATCCCGTGCTGCAAATCCCCTACAGGAAATCCCCTACAGCCCCCCTGTACCCCCTCTGCACCCCTCACACCCCACAGCATCCCCTATTGCAAATCCCCCACAGGAAATCCCCTACAGCCCCCCCCGTACCCCCTCTGCAACCCAACAGCTTCCCCTACAAGAAATCCTCTACAGCTCCTCCTGCATCCCTCAGCCCCCTCCCCAAGAGGTTCTCCCACCTTGCAGCCCCCTGCACCCCTTCCACAGCATCCTCTGCACCCATTCAGCGCTCCCCTATAGAAAATCCTCTCTGGCTCCCCTTCTGCACCCCCAGCCACTCCCACACCCCCACAGCAATCCTCTCTGGTACCCCCTGTCCCCTCCTGCACAGTCTGATGTGTACCCCTGCTGCTGTATCCCAGAACTGACAGGCCCCTCTGCACCCCTGGGCACACCCTGCTGTTGTCACCCCCTGGTCCCCCCAGCAGCTCCCCCACCCCTGAATCCCTTGCAGATTGTCCCAAGGCTGGCATGGCCCTGGCCAGGCTAGCGTGTCCCTCTGGCTGTCAGTGCCAGGGTGGGGAGTTTATGACCAAGGGGGCATGACCCTCTGTCCCTGATCAGGCTGGCACATCTGTCCCACAGAGGGTGGGGCATCTCTCTGTGTATCCATGACCAGGCTGGCATATCCCTGTGTGTGTCCATGACCAGGCTGGGACATCTCTCTGTGTGTGTCTGTGCCAGGCTGGCACACCTGTGGTCAAGCTGGGACATCTCTCTGTGTGTGTCTGTGCCAGGCTGGCACACCTGTGGTCAGGCTGGGACATCTCTCTGTGTGTCTGTGCCAGAGACACACGCAGACTGGCACATCTGTCACCACGGTGTCGTGTCAGTGACAAGTCTGGCATATTCTTCTGTGTATCTATGACCAGGTTGGCACGTCCCTGTGTGTGTCTGTGACCAGAGTGGACATCCCTCTATCCATGATTAGGGTGACATGTTCCTCTGTGTGCCCATGACCAGGCTGTGACAAATGTGAGCAGGGTGGCAGACCAATGACTAGGGTGGGACTTCCCTCTGTATGTCTGTGACCAGACTGGCATGTCACCCTAGTCATGGATAGAGAGACATGCCCTATCTGTTACCAGGGTGGGATGTCCCTCTGTAACCAGGCTGCCATACTTGTGACCAGTCTGTCTCATCCCTCTGTAGATCTGTGCCAGGCTGGCACTTCTGTCACCAGGGTGGCATGTCTGTCACCAGTCTGGTACATCCGTCTGTGTGTCTTTGTCCAGGCTGGCACATCCATGCAGGGCTGGCGCTTCCCTCCTCATGCCTCTCTCTGCCCCACATCCTGTCCCTTGTCCACCCCAGTGTCCCCATGTGTCCCTGCAGCCCCAGCCTGCACTGTCACCTCTGGAATCACCTGCTGTCACCCTGGGGATGGTGACACATTGATGCAGTGGCCCTGCAGCTACATAGGAAGTATGCTTGCCCAGAGAGTGGGGTGGGCAAGCACTGGCTGTGCCCCGGGGTGACAGTAGGGACGAGGTGACAAGGGTGTCCCTGTCCCTGCCGCAGGTGTTGCGAGTGCGGGGCCTCCCTGTCACACCAGTACTACGAGAAGGATGGGCGCCTGTACTGCAAGAAGGATTACTGGGCACGCTTCGGGGAGCTGTGCCACGGCTGCTCCGAGCAGATCACCAAGGGGCTGGTCATGGTGAGCACCACGGGGTCCCCAGGACACGGAGCCTTGTGCTGAGCTCCTGAGGAGCAGGGGAGGTGGGAAAGGGGTGCAGACCCCCAGCACCACTGGGTGTGTCATGGATGCCGCCTACCTTTTAGGAGATCCTGCAGGTCCTTGCTGGGGTTGGGAAACGCAGGGGAGAAGCTCAGGGTGGTGGGAGATGTTTGTGCAGCCACCTCTAGCTTGGTGGCACTTCTGTCCCCACCTTTCCATGACTCAGCCTGCCCTACCGATGGCCCCAGTGCACCCGTGGGTACTCCCAGGCCCCTCCGAGCCCTGGCCCTGCCCTCGGTGCCTGGACAAGGGGTCCCGGGGCTGATGGCACTGCCCACAGGTGGCCGGGGAGCAGAAGTACCACCCCGAGTGCTTCAGCTGCCTCAACTGCCGCGCCTTCATCGGGGACGGGGACACCTACGCGCTGGTGGAGCGCTCCAAGCTCTACTGGTACGTCTGCTCTGGGGAGACCGGGGGGACACGTCCCCTGGCACCCCCACCCACCCTCCCGCTCTGCTCCCCACAGCGGCCACTGCTACTACCAGATGGTGGTGACACCGGTGATCGAGCAGATCCTGCCAGAGTCGCCGGCCTCCCGCATCCCCCACACCGTCACCCTCGTGTCCATCCCCGCCTGCTCCGACGGCAAGCGCGGCTTCTCCGTCTCCATCGACCAGGGCTGCGGCACCGAGCACCCGCGCACCGTGCGCGTCCGAGAGTGCGTCCCTGTCCCCCTGCCACCGGCCCCTCCCCAGGGCTGGGGCATCCCCTGCCCCTTCTGCCCCTGGGATCCATCCCAGGGAGGAGGAGGGGTGGTGCTAGGCTGTCCTCATTGTCCAGGGGTGGCCTGTTGGGACCGTGGTGACGTGTGCCCAACTGCAGGGGGGTTTGTGGGGGCCGTGCTGGTATGTCCCTGACTGTGCTGGCATTGCCTCATATGCCAGAGTGGGCTCTGGATACTACACGTGTCCCTGTGTGGTTAGGGTGGCTTGTGGAGACTGTGACAGCATGTCCTCGTCCAGGAGGTGACAGTGGGGTCTTACACACCCGTTGGGAGTGTCCTAGCACACCCCCCTGATGGTGACAGTGTCGGGGGTCTGACCCCACCGTCCCCGCAGGGTGGACCCGGACTGCATCAGCCCTGACATGAAAAACTCCATCCACGTTGGTGACCGCATCCTGGAGATCAACGGGACCCCCATCGGCCACGTCCCCCTGGATGAGGTACGGTCCCCCTGTCACACCCCAGCCAGCCCCACTTCCGCCGCGTCCCCAAACCTGCCCCATCGTCATTTCCCTGTGCAGATCGACCTGCTGATCCAGGAGACGAGCCGCCTGCTGCAGCTAACCATCGAGCACGACCCCCACGAGCCCCTGGGCCAGGAGCCAGGGCTGGCAGACAGCCCCCTGCCTGCCCTGTGCAGCCCCCTGCGCTTGCCAGCCCCCGCGCCCTGCGGGGACCCCGCTGCCATGCGCCAGCGCGCTGTCACGTAAGGCCAGCTCTGCTCCCTCCCCTGCTGGGTCCCCCCTGCCCCGAGCACTGCCCCACTGACCTCTGCCCTCCATCCTGCAGCAGGAGCTGCAGCACGGACAAGTCCCCGGGCTCGGGCTCCGTGGGCTCTCCCGCGTCCCAGCGCAAGGACATCGGGCGCTCCGAGTCCCTGCGCGTCGTGTCCCGCGCCCACCGCATCTTCCGCCCCTCAGACCTCATCCACGGAGAGGTGCTGGGCAAGGGCTGCTTCGGCCAGGCCATCAAGGTGGGCAGGGGACACAAGCGTGGGGGTCTCGGCTCCCCAGGATGGAGGGGGATGGCTGAGTCCCTGCACTCCTGGCCAGGTGACGCATCGGGAGACAGGCGAGGTGATGGTCATGAAGGAGCTGATCCGCTTCGATGAGGAGACGCAGAGGACCTTCCTCAAGGAGGTGAGGGTCCCCTGTCCTTAATCCCCCAGGTTGCACGAACCCAAGGGTGACCCAGCCCCGCGATTGCAGCCCTGCCTGCTGAGCCCACGAGCAGCAGCTCTGTGCAGGGGGTGTGGGAGCCTTGGGGTGTCACGGACACGGGGCTGAGGGGGTCTCCTGCAGGTGAAGGTGATGCGCTGCCTGGAGCACCCCAACGTACTCAAATTCATCGGGGTGCTCTACAAGGAGAAGAGGCTCAACTTCATCACAGAGTACATCAAAGGGGGCACCTTAAGGAGCCTCATCAAGAACATGGTGAGAATTGGGGGAGGCAAGTTGGTCCTCTACCACCCCACAGCCACAGGGGACTGGGGGACCCCTCTTCGTTTTCTATTTCCTGGCAAATTCCCCTTCCTGTCCCCCAGGACAGCCACTACCCCTGGAGCCAGCGGGTCAGCTTTGCCAAGGACATCGCCGCTGGCATGGTGGGTGCCACCATGGGATGGGTGGGTGGGGCAGGTACCGGTGAGTGGGGGGACCATGGCATAGGTGTGCCCCTGCTCTCAGCCCACCTTTCCCTCAGGCCTACCTCCACTCCATGAACATCATCCACCGCGACCTCAACTCTCACAACTGCCTCGTGCGGGAGGTGAGTCCCACCTTGGCGCTGGCCTCCCCCAGCCTGGCTGGTGCTCTCAGTCCCTGTGTGGCTCCCCCAGGCCTCACCCCTCCCTGTGCCCCCCAGAACAAGAGTGTGGTGGTGGCTGACTTCGGGCTGGCGAGACTGATGGTGGACGAGAAGAGCCAGCCCGAACATCTCAAGAACCTGAAGAAACCGGACCGCAAGAAACGCTACACAGTGGTGGGGAACCCCTACTGGATGGCCCCCGAGATGATCAATGGTGAGGGAAATGTGACCAGCCAGGGCTCTGTCCCCAGGCAGGGGATGATTGGTGGGGCTGGGATGGGAATGTGTGTCATGGCCTGGCCCTGTGTCTGCAGGGAGGAGCTATGATGAGAAGGTGGACATCTTCTCCTTCGGCATCGTCCTATGCGAGGCAAGTGCCCCTGGGGCTGGGGTCTGGCATGGGCACTGGGGTCCTCATGGCATTTGGGGTCACTCCCCCAAGGTTGGGGTGTCGCCCTTGGGGTTGGGGTGTTTAGAGTCTCTACCTTAGGATTGGAGCTTTTTCCCTTGGGCTTGGGGTCCCCCTTGGGGTTGGGGTCCTCCTTTTGGGGTTGAGGTCCTCATAGTGCTTGAGTTCCCCCTCTTAGACTTGGAGTCCCCCCTTGGAGTTGGGGCCTCTCTCCTTTGGTTAAGGGTCTCCCTGTTGGGGTCTCTCCCTTCGGCTTGGGGTTTCTTCATTGTATTTGGGCTCCCTCCTGGGGCTTGGGCATCTCCCCCTTGGGGCTTAAGGGTCCCTGTTTGAGGTTCCCCCTTGGTGCTGAGCCCACTACCCCCAGATCATCGGCCGGGTGAGCGCCGACCCCGATTACCTGCCCCGCACCACCGACTTCGGCCTCAACGTCCGGGGCTTCCTGGAACGCTACTGCCCCCCCGCCTGCCCCCCCAGCTTCTTCCCCATCGCCGTCTGCTGCTGCGACCTGGACCCCGAGAAGCGGTGGGTGGTGGGGATCCCCAGGGGTCCCTGGGCAGGGAACGGGGTGGGGACAGAGCCGGCGGAGCTGCCACGTGTCCCCCTCGTGTCCCCCTCGTTGCGCAGGCCGTCCTTCGCCAAGCTGGAGCAGTGGCTGGAGACGCTGCGCATGCACCTGGAGATCCACCTGCCGCTGAGCTCGCAGCTGGAGCAGCTGGACCGAGCCTTCGGGGAGACGCACCGGCGGGAGGGGGGACTGCCCGCGGCCCCGTGGTAGAGCCCCCGCCCGCGCCCCTCTGCAGCCGCGGGACAAGGAGCTGCGCCCGCCACCCGCCGCTCCTGGGCTGCCTCACCCCGGGGCTGGACCCCCGGACGTGCCCCCGCCCCGCCGCCCACCCCGGGGAGCCGGATCTCCCCGGGGCCGCATGGCCCCGGGCACCCCTCATGCCGTAGCTCTGCCCACCGGGACCAGCCCGGCTGGCCGCGCCGCGGGGACCGTGCCCGCGTCCCCCACGCTGGCTCACCTCCCCTTTGCACAGCGGGGCTGCCCCCGCCGAGCCCCCGGGCTGCCCTGCGGCGGTGCCTTGGCTTTCCCTGAACTTGCACTTGGACACAGGAGGGACCCCCGGCCCCCCAGGGCACCCTCGTAGCAACGCCCTGAGGCTGCTCCCGCCGGCAGCCCGGGTTCGGGGGGCTGCCGGCACCCCCGGCTGAGCGAGGGGTGGGGTGGTGGGGGGCACCCCCGTGGTGTGGGGACGGGCACGTAGCGGTCCCCGCCAGCGCCACACCTCCGCTGCCCGTGCTGAGCCCTGACCACGCCGCCCCGGGGACACGCCGGGTGCCCCAGAGGGACGTGGGGCTGCGGCTCATCTCAGTCCCCCTGCCCTGGAGGGCCCGGGGGGTTGCGCCACGCGGTGCTTTTCATGCTCTTTATTCAGGTTCATTTTTCTGTAAGATATTTAAAGAGAAGAGTTTGTATTATTTTTTCATACGACGTAGCGTTTGCCATTTGTCACTGCCTCGGTTCTGCTTTCCCAAAGGGATCAAACTGTGAAGCCTCTCCGTGCACTTTTGCCCGGGAAGTCCAAGGTGACGTCCTCTGTGGAGGCGGGAAGGGAGCTCAAACTGTGATGTACCCCGAGCCGTGAGTCAATAAATCCTTCCCCGCTCGCTGCCCGGCCTGTTGGCAATCGCTCGCCTCCCCCGGGGGGCTGGGAGCTCCTGTGGAAACTGAGGCAGGAGGGGATGGTCCCTCTGCCCAGGGTGGGGCTGTGGCACTGGCCATGGTGGCACCCACAGCTCGCTCACCCCCGCGGGGGCAGTACTGTTGTCCCCCTTTGTGCTGTCCCCATCCCATTGTGGGTGCCCCCATCTGGGACTGGTGCCATCCCTGCTTATGTCACCAGGGCCTCCAAGTGCTGTGTCCCCTTGCTGGCCCGGTCACGCCAGGGTGGTGACAGAGCCGTTGTGACCATCGGTGCCGTGGAGCTGATTTGCCTTTGGTGTAAAAGCAGCCCCAGAGAACGTGAGGTGGCTCATGCTGGGGTAGGCCATGGTCCTCCTGTGCTGTCCCTCTGTCCTCAACACCCTTTTAAACCAAACTAAGGTCTCCAAGTGGGAGAGCTCCATCCTTGGTAGACGGTGAGCTTTGGAAGCTGGAACCCAAAGAGCTGAGGGAGGAGTGACAGGGAAGGAATGGGACTGGGGAGATATCCCCAAGGATGTGATGCTGCAGCTGGAGAAGGAGCCTGAAGGGGTCCCAGGATCCAGGCTGGAACCCTCTCCAGGAAACCTCGTGGTTTATTGCTCCAGAGGGACGTGAGGGGATGTAGTGGCAGTGGCTCGGTCCCCTTTCCTGGGGTGGCTCCTGACTGCCTGTTCCCCAGTGCCCCAGTGAGGGACAGGGACCAACACCCTGCCTGGTGTCACAGGCTTGTCACACCTTCCTTGGTGACACCACACTGCCCCTGGTGACACCCCACTGTGCTGATTCTTTGCCCTGAGAGCAGGACACTTGTCACTCCCTGGGAATGCTGGGCTGAGGGACCCACTGTGGCCATCACACCTGGGAAACCCCAGTCCCCTGCTGCCACAGGAGAGCAGGACCCCAGGAGACCCTCAGCCCTGCAGTAGGAACCCCCAAACCCATGGGACCCCCCCCAGCCCCTCACCCAGCAGGGTGCAGGGATGCCTGGTGGTGCCAGGGACACCACAACCACTGGGACACTTGCTGGTGGCCCTTGGGGCAAGAGCCAGCAGCTGGCCACAACACCAAGTGGCCACTCAGTCACCCCTGTGATCAGCAACTCATCCCAGACCACGCCACCAGCTGGGACACCCCCTGGCACCCCCAGACACCCCCACAGAGGTGGCTCTGGCACTGCAGTGGCCCCATGCTGTCACTCGAGAGTCCCTTCCAGAGGTGTGCAGCACCCTGTGCCCAAATCCAGCCCTGGTCCAGCCTGACCCAGTGCCTGTGGGAGGGACTCATCCCATCACCAGCACCTGGCTGTCCCCTCCAGCCATCCCTTCCCAGGAGGGACAAGGCCACCCAGACCACGTCACAGGCCACCAAGAGCTGCCACTGCATGCACTGTCTCCTCCCAGGTCCTGCTCTGTGCCCTCCCGGGGATGTCTCTGGTAGGGTCCTGCCCATGTCTGACCCCAGTTTGGAATGGTGGCATGTGGGGAGCCAGGTGTCCCCACCAAGGGGGTGGCCAAAGGCACCAGTGGCTCTGGAAGGGCACAACTGAGAGATCCAGACATGAAGTGTCAGCTGTGGGTTTGTCACCTGCCTCGTGGGGAAGTTTGGGACTCCAGGGGAAAGGAGGAAGGGCAGGTTCTCCCAGAATCCTGGCAGGGTGGGCACTGGTGCTGCTGGGACCCTCCTGGGGGACATCTTGTGACAGGGGTAATGGGCAGAGGCTCCTCATGAGGCTTGAGATGTGCAAGGAGAAGAGGTGCTGGGGACCAGCCAGGACACCCAGCTGCACAGGGATGTGTGGAGATGGAAAAGGATTCCTGGGATCCCACCAGGGCACCTGGCTGCACAGGGATGTGTGGAGCTGGAGGAGGGTCATAGGGGTCTGGCTGGGGTGTCCAGCTCCATGGGGACATGAGGTCTGGTCCCCATCCCTGGCCACAGCAAGACTCGCCCCCACATGAGGATTTTCCAGTGGTGAGCAGGCAATGGCTTTGGGATCCTCTGGAGCCCTTTCCACCTCACCAAGAGGCTGGACTAGAGACATCCTGGGGTCATTCCTGTCCTCCACCCCTGTGATCTCCCATCCTGCATCTGGCACGTGGCTCTGCAGGGTGTTTGTCATGCTTGATCCTGTCCCCAGAGCCGCCTCTGTCCCCTGGGTACAGGATCCCTCCCCTGGCTCAGGAACGAGGGCTTTGTGTGGCTCTGGAGCAGCCTCAGCCCTCCCCCCATAACTGGGTGTCACTGTCACACCTCCCCTCTGCAGCCTGGACTGGGACAGGGGCCACGTTCACACATGTCAGCAGGAACTGGTGACTCCATGAGGAGCATCAGACACCCAAAGCCCTGGTGGAGCTCCAAGCCCAGTGGTGGGGTGTCAGGACCTGTCTGCCTCAATTTCCCCCGTAGCTGGAGTGAGCTGTGGGATATGGGGATGGGAAGAAGGGCTGTCACTGCAGCTCCTGTCCCCCCTCCAGTGTCCTCTGCTCCCTAACAGGTGGGGCTGGCCAAATCTAGGCAAGAAAATCCCATGGGAAGCAGTTCCCACCTCATTTGCCAGCAGTTTTTGTAAGGTCTGTATAAACATGGCATTTATGAACACAGCCCTGGCAATGCAGTTCTGCCATCCTGCCCCTCTCTGCCAGCTGGGGGCATGTGGGGCCCACCCCTGACCCAGCTGCTGGTCCTGTGGGGACACAGGCACCTGGGAGGGGACAGCTGGGGGTACCTGGAAGCCTCAGCTGCTTCTGATGGGGAAAATGGCTTCTCACTCCCACTGCTGTTCCCCCCAGCTCCAGCACAGCCCCTTCGCAGTGGGGCTCCAGAGGGGAGGGAAATGATGGGTGCTCCTGGATTCCCCAGTGCCACCAGGTCCCCAGGCAGGAGCAGGGGACGGGCAGCATCGACTGATGTGTCCTTTGGGAGGGATCTGGGAGTTGGTGACACGTGATGAGCTGTGGGAAGGTTCAGTCCAAGGAGGGAGCGGGGCCTTTTGAGGGCAGGGCTTGGGTGGGACCACATGGGCTCGTGGGTTTGGGTGGCTGAGATACCTTCCCCACTGCTGTGACACCATCCTTTAGAGCACGTCCCATGTCCAAACCCCTCCAAGGGGCTGGCACTACCCAGACTTGGGGCATGTGGGCCCTTAGAACCCCCAGGCCCCCCTACTCTGAGCAGGAGCTCCCTGCAAGACAGCCCAAAGATGGGGAGACCCTGATATGTGGGTCTGGGGAGCTGGAAGACCCTGGCATGTGGGGTTTGGGTTTGGGGGACCCCAGACCATGGGTTTGGGGGCTATTGGCTGCCATAGACTATATTAATATATATAATATATGCCCTATATTGGCTCCTCAAGCACAGGGAACAGCCCAGGCACGGGCAGCCCTTCTGGGCTCACACCATGGAGAAGAGGCCAAAAGGCAGGAGTTACATCCCAGGCTTTCAGGGTCCACCCTGAGCACAGACCCCCCCTCATCCCTGTGGTGGAGCAGATCTTGGGGAGCACCATAGGGTGCCTGATGTGGTTCATCCTTTCCACAGTGGAAAAATGAGTTTATTCCCAGCTTGGAGTCTGTTTGGCTGCTTCGGAGAGGGGAGAGCAGAACTTCTGCCTGTGCTCGGTGGCTGTGGGGACGGACCCTTAGGGCTTTGTCCCCCGGGATGTGTCACTGCAGTGAGGTGCTCTGCTCCCTGCACACGGTATTACTCAGCCCAGCCACCGCACTGGGAAGGCCCCCAGATGGGACAAGAGAGAGCTAAAAATAGAGATTCTCACGGCAGATGCAGGGAAGCATCCCAACATGTGGCCTCTGGACCTGCCGGCAGACCAGGATGGGACTGACCCCCGCCCCATCCCGTGCTTGGCTGTGGTCTCCATGACCCCAGATCTTCCCCCCTGACCCTGCTCCGAGCCCCCCAGGGCAGCCCCAGCCCCAGGCAGTGCTGGGCGATGCCGGGGCGGGCGGGGGGAGCCGGCAGCGAGGAGGTTAAACTCCCCACGCCCGCCGGATGCAGCATCCTGGGCTGGGCTCTTTCCATCTTGTTTTGGTTTGGAGGAATAAAAGCTTTGGCAGCAGCAAAGCCGCTTCCCAAAATAACTCGGCCTCCCATGGTAATTATAGAGCTCCGGGCCCCGGTAGCGAGCGGAGACTTCTCAGCCGGGCCGGGACCCAGCATTGCTGCTGCTGCCGGCCCGAGGGACCCCGGGGTGCCTCGGGGACCTCTCCAGCTGTGCCACCCTGCCTGGGCATCACCATCGCTCCCCTTGGCGTCGTCTCCCAGGCAGGAACATGCAGCGCCTGTGTCCCCTCCCGCTCTGTAGCTGATCCTTTCAGCTTTTAATGCTCCCGGTAAAGCCCAGGTTGCCGCTCCCCGGCCTCGATGGGCACTGGGCTACCGGAGCAAAGCGGGTGGTTGCTCCGGGCTGTGCCAGCTGGCCAGGTCGAGGGCACCGAGCTCGTCCCACAGTGCCGGGATGGGAGCGCCCGGCTCACCCCGGCAGTGCCCTCCCACCCCCGCGGGGCTCAGCGCTGCTCCTTGAAGGGCAGGGAGAGCCCAGGCTGAGCTCCTGGAGCCCCCGAGCCCCTAATCCCCGGTAATCCTGGAGGAAAGCGCTGGCTGTGGGGATTAGGGATGTAAACAGCCATCCTCACCTGCCTGCCCCTGCCTGCCCCTGCTTGGACCCCCGAATACAGGGTCGAGGTGGCCACCGGTGCTCTCTGAGGCTGTGTTGAGCCTGTGGTGGTTATTTATGGGAATAAAGGGAATGTAGAGCCAATCTGGACACGGCCTGGGTCTATAACGTCCGAGGGAAAGAGATTCCAGGCAGTGATAAGGTTGGGGACAAGGCTGAGATAGTCCCTGTGGAGTCACAAAGCTTCAATCAGAGCCTGACTGGGGCCGGATCTATCTTTTCCTCCTGGGGAATTACCACTGGCTTTTTTCATTGGCAGGGAAACTGAGGCAAGTGAGGAGAAGCTCATGAGAGGGATGTGATGGGAATGCATGTGACCTCGCCAGCCCCCTGGCTTGGAGTGAATTTGAGGTGGGACAAGGACAGTGCTGAGGAGCAGCTGGGCCGGGAGACTGAAATTTGGGGAAGGGCTGAGCTCTGCCAGCTGCTCGCCACGGGGAGCAGCCGCCGCGGCCAAGGCTCCCCCGGCCCCTTTCATGCCGGAACACGAGCGCTCGCTCCGGGCAACCCCGCCCGCGGTGCCAGCATCCTCCCTGCCCTCAGGGACACGGGGACACAGCCGCGTGCCACTGCCACTCACATGGGCTCGGGGCCGGGGGCATCCCGGGGAGATGCTGCCATCCTTGAGGTGGGATGGGGGTGGGGATGGGGAGAGGGGCACGGCCAGCCTGGGTGCCTGGGTCCCTTTGCCAGCCCACCAGGCAGGGGCAGGATGGCTCAGCAGCCCCGGGAAGGGCTTCGGGAGGGGGAGGCAGGCTGGGATTTTGCAGCGGGAACTCTGGGAGACTGGGACTTGGTGACCCCGGCTCAGTGCAGTCACCAGTCCCTGGTCCCCAGCAGGTGATGTGGGACGTGTGGTGCTGGGGTGTTTTCCCAGTACCTAACACCCCCTAAGTGGTGCCCAGTGTTCCCAAGAGCCAGTGGCTGGTGTGGAGCCTCCTGCGCAGTACCTGCAGGGCAATGCCTGGTGCTGGTGACACTGCCAGGAGGTCACTCACTGTCACGGGGACCATTCCCTCTCACCTGCGCCACTAACTGGTGCTGGGGCCTCGTACCCACTGCCTGCACTGGGCCCTGCCAATGCCCGGCACCCAGTACTGGCGCCCTGTCCCTGGTACTGGTGCCCTGTCCCTGCTGCAGTGTTTTGTTCCTGGCGCTGGTGCCCCAGGGCTGCTGCTGGAGCCCTGTGCCTGGTGCTGCTGCCCTGTGCCACTACCTGGTGCCACAGTGCAGTTCCCGGTGCCCAGTGAGTGCTGCCAGAGCCGTGCACGGTGCCCGGCCCCAGTGCCAAAGCGAGTGCCCGGTGCCGGTGCCAGGTATTGATGCCCGAGCCGAATGCCAGGGCTGGATGCTGATGCCCAGTGCCCGGTGTCGGTACCCAGTGCGTGGTGCCGGTGCCCGGTGTGCGGTGTCTGGTCCCGGTGCCCGGTGCACATTGCTCGGTGCCGGTGCCGACGCCGAGCGCTGCTGCTGCCTGTACCCGTGAGCAGTGCGCGGCGCCGGGCGCTGCTGCCGGTGCCGGTGCCGGGGCCGGTGCCGGTGCCGGTGCCCGGTGCCGGTGCCGGTGATGCCGAGCGGCCGCCCCGCCCGCCCCCCCGCCCGCCCCGCCCCGGGGCCGCCCCCGCCCCCGCCGCTGCTATTTCTGCTAATCCGCCGGGGCCCGGCCGTGCCCATCGGCAGCCGCCGCTCCCGGACGGCGCCCGGCGCCGCAGCCATGGTAAGGCCGGGCGGACGTGGAGCGGCCCGGGCCGGGCTGCCCCGCACCGCCCCGCTCCCGCAGCCCGCTGCCCTCCGTGAAGGTGACGGTGAGCGGGGGCGGAGCGGACCGGGGCCGCCGGTGCCGCAGCGGAGCGCGGGGGGGACGCGGGCGGCGGGGCAGCACCTGCCCGGTGCGGAGAGCGGCAGCCCCGGGGGAGGCGGGGTCCCTTACCGGGGCAGCGCTCGGGAGCGTCACCTGCGTGTCACCCCGTCCTGCGCTCCCCCCACGCGTGTCCGTGCGCGGACAGCGGGAGCCGCTCTGGTGCGGTTCCGCGCCGAGCATCGGTTCCCAGCTCTTGGCAGGTCCCCGGGCTGCGGCGCTGCTGGCACTGCCGGCCTGGCCGGGCCCTCGGCCGGGACCGTCACACGCAGGGAGCCGGCCCGGTACTCACCGGCAAGGTCCGGAGCCGCCGCTGCCATTCCCACCCGCGGGAGCTTGTTCTGCATCTCCCGTCCTGCCTCGCTCCTCCGCGGTGGTGGCAGGTTCCCAGGAGCCGCCCGGCCGGGCCACGTCTCCGCGGGGACCTGGGGCTGTGTCCGGGCTCGGGATGAGGACGGAGGGCTGCGTGGCACCGGCTGGTGGCCGCTGGGCAGGCGGCCTCGGTGGGGAGCGCTGCGGCCGCGCTGCCCCGGCAGCCGCCGTGGGAACCAGCCCGGCACATTCCTCCGGAGCTGGATGCAGGGAAAGCAGGGAGGAGGGCGGCTGGCGGAGCGTGTCGCAGCCGAGCGCCTTCCCGACAGGCTCCAGACTGTGGCTGTGGGATGCACACAGCAGCCTCCGGAACATCGCGGGGGACAGCGGTCACAGCTGGGGACTCCCTCACCCACGCACGTGGGGAGAGTTGGGGCTGGAGGTGCTCCAGAAGGACCCACAGAGGCAGAGCCGCTGCCCCTGCCACCAATGCCACATCCCTCTGTCCCCAGGGCAGTTCCCAGCTGGCCCGGAGGAGCAGCATCAGCACTGGTCCCCCCTCCCGGGCCTCTGCTCCCGGCTCGGAGTGGGTCAGACCTTGCCCGGCCCCACGCGCTGAGGTGTCACCTGGTTTTCAGCCTGGACAGGCCTCGCTGTCATGCCCTGGCTCACAGGGAGCCATGGTCCCATCCTGGGGTCCCCACTCAGGTGCTCACAGGCCCTTAAAGCTGGAGGATTCCCTGCGGGAGAGGGACTGCAGCTGCTGCACCCAGGGCTGTGGCTCCCATCCCCAGTGCTCGCCTGCCCGGTGCTGACCCCCTGCCCAGAGCCTGCCCCCATCCTTGGGGTGCCCAGCACCCTGCTCCTCTCGGAGCTGCCGGGAGACTCAATTTCCCGTCTGGAATGCTGCTGATGGGTGGGATGGCAGAGCTGGGGGTCCCCTGATTCTGCAGCGGGAGCATCCCGTGCATCCAGAGGCGGGGCCGAGCAGGCAGAGCCCAGATCCCGTCTCCCTGGTCCTGGCAGCGCTGAGCTTTTGCTGGGGGCTTGTCCTGCGCAGGGCTCGTGTTTTTGGGAGAGCTTTTGTGCCTGGAATAGTCAGTCGTGGTGACACCGTGGCTGTGCCGCGGGTGGCATTCTGGGTGTCACCTTTAGAGGGCTTGGGAAGGCCTCTGTCGGCCTGGCGGTAGGGACAGCACCTCGCCGGGATGTTCCCTTCCTTTCCCTGCAGAAGCGGAGGCGGAAAACACCTCCCGTGGGAATGTGGTACCTGTGGAACGATGCTCAGGGGCAGCCGGTGGCTTTGTGAGGTCAGGCTGCCCCCGTGTCCCCCCTCGGGCTGTCACCGCGCGGGGACGGTGTGATGCGGGGTGACAGGGGGGACGAGGCTGCGTGTGCGGGTATCGCTGGGGCTGCGGGGCCGCTGTGAGGCCGGCTCACACTCAGCCGCGTGTGTAATCTTCTTACGGGGGCACCGGCACTGCCCCGGGCTCTCGCTGCCGTAAATCCCCGCTCCTGCCGGGAGTGCGGGCTGGGAAAGTGGCCGAGAGAGCCTGGATCGCGCCTGAGCTGCTCTGATGCATCTCGACACGCATCAAGGTGAATCACCATCCCTGCTGACCCCGAAGTGACAGCTGGGGAATCCTGACTGCCACCCACGGCTCCTCCTGGGGCACTGTTAACCCTTCCCCTCCCAGGGATGAGCCGGCAAAGTCGAGGCAGGAATGTCGGAGCTTTTGCCTGAGATCCCCGTGGTGGGCAGCGTAGCTGCTTCTCCCAGGCCAGGGCTGGTCCTTCCTAGCCAGGCCCAGTTCGAGCAAGAGCTTGAAGCCACTTGGGGGAGCTTTAAGTGTCAGGTGCAAAAGTGTGGGGAAAACTGGGTTTCTGACCTCAAAGAGGCTGTGGAGCCCTGCTGGGGGATGCTCCAGATGGGCAGTGGGAGTGGACGTGGTGTGCACTGGGATGGAGAGGAATTTTATCCTGGGACAGAGGGAGTTTTGTCCCAGGATGGAGCGGGTTAGGGTTAGGGTTAGGGTTTTGTCCTGGGACAGAGGCATTCCCGACGATTGAGCATCCTCCTGGGCTGTAGCCAACCTGTGTGTTCAGCCCAGGGTGCTGGTGGTCCTGCAGCCCACCCAGGACCTCCCTTGGCTGATGACAGCTGGTCCTTGAAACCTTCACGGCCGGGCAGGAGCTGGCTGTGGCTCTGCCAGGGGTCCCTCTCCCCCGCCGTGCCCCTCGCAGGGGCCGTGCCTGGCTCCTGGGTGCCCGGCGGGACCTGCCCAGGGTGGAGTTATGCTAATGCTGCTCCCCAGCCCTCGCCGCGGCCGGTGCCACTCGGCATCTTCTGCTGGCCACGGGCGACGCTGGCTGTGCCATGGCCACCTGCCCCGAGCTGCAGCCTGGGCAAGAGGTACGGGGGCAGCGCCGGTCCCCGGCGGGGCGAGAGAGGGGGTGGGGGGCACGGAGCACCCCGGTTCTGCGGGAAGGTGCCGCAGCTGATCCTCCGTCCCTGGGACAGCCCTGCCAGGGGCCGCGCTTGCTGCAGGACCCCCAGGGATGCAGCGCGAACCTCGGTGCCGCGGCACTGCCGAAGTCATCGGCTTCGCCGGGGGTGGGAGACGAGGGCGAGCCCCAAAGGGCTGCAGCCCCGAGGGATGGAGCGGCAGGCTGGAGGCGCTCGCCGCCGCTGGTGGCATCACCTCCCATCCCCGAGTGTCCCCGGCCGGGCTGCGCTGGGGCTGGCGCTGAGACCCCCAGGTCAAGGGCGGGGAGGAAGAGGATGCTGCGGTCACACAGACCCACCGAGCACTCGGGACCCGCTGGGGCAGCGGGGAGCACGGGGGTCCCACCTGTGCCCCCCAGCCTGGCGCCGTGGTCCCCGCGCTGTGGCCGCGGGGCAGCGGGAGCGGGGCCGGGCGTGCGGGCGCCGAGGCCGGGCAGCGCCGTGACCTTGTTTCCAGCCCGCTGATTCCGAGCATCTCCCCTCGCCGCCGGCACCGCCAGCGAGCGGGGACACGGCGCAGGGGAGGACACTTGTCCCCATGGAGGGACCTCGCCTCGACGCCCCGCTCTGGGGGGGCACTCCCCCAGCTGGGAGCCCGCAGGGTCACGGCTCCCCCGGCCACTGCGTGCCTCTTGTTTGGGGCTGGGGTCGCCTGGCAGCTGCCTTGGGGCCTTGGGGACGTTGGTGCCTGCTGGCAGCAGGGCTTGGTCCCACGGGAGCCGCTGCCGGACGCGCCCTTGGGAACGCATCTCCTCCCGCCAGCGCTTGTAAACAGGATGTGGAGCCATCGTCCCTCGTCCCAGCCCCGCCGCCCCACGGGCAGCTCTGCCCGTCCCCCCAGCCCCCCGGGAAGAGCCAGGGGTAGGGGATGGCGGGGTCCTGGTCATGTCCCCTGCCCTGGTTTTCTCCCGGGACTGCGGGGACGGGGGCCCCTGTGGTGACACCCCGCAGTGGGCGGGGGGCATGGGCACCAGGGGACCCCTGCCCCCCATCTGCCTTCCCCCGGCTGCAGCCCCGCTCAGGCCACCCTCCAACCGCTCTTCATCTCTTCTTGGTGTCTCTGCCTCCTTCCGGCCCCCTCCCGGCCCTCCTGGCAGGCCATGGGGCGCGGGGCGGTCCTGGCTGCCCCAGAAGACCCCGAGGAGCGGCGGGGTGCCCAGGGGGAAGGTGCCTACCCCTGTCCCCAGGAGTGCCAGGAGCTGGCTGCCATCCCCACGGCACAAGTCGTAAGAGCCCGAGGTGCACGGGACCACGGCTGTCCCCGCTGCCATCCCCATGGCTGTACCCACGGCTGTCCCCAGGGTGGTGGCTGCTCCCGTGGGGTGGCCGTGTCCCGTCTCTCCTCCCATCCCCGCCACCTTTAGGGTGCATGTGTCCGGCTGCTGCGGCTTGGGGGGTCGTGAGGCTGAGCTGGGTGGTGCCACGTCGGGCTGGCACTGCCACCACCAGTGTCACCTCCTCCCTTGGTCCCCAGATAAAACGTTTCCTGAAGGAGGACTCGGACGAGGCTGAGCTGAGCCAGTTCCTGCGGGATTGCCCACCAGCTGACAGCTCCAGGAAGGTGGAGGCCCCGGAGAGCCGGCGGGAGCCTGGCCACCCCCTGGGCAGCGTGGCCAGGGTCCCCCCAGACGAAGCCAGTGACGAGAGGGACTCCAGGATTTTCTCCCGCTCCCGGCCCTCGGATTTCCAGCAGCACATTGCCGCCCCCCCGCCCCCCAGCCCCAACCGCCCGCGGAGCCCCTGGGGACAGCTGGACCCCTACGACTCCTCCGAGGTGCAGGATGTGTCCCTGGGGAGGGGGGACACACACGTGGCGTGAGGGGCTGCGGGACGGAGGGTGTTGCCATCTTGTGAACACAAATGGGCAGGCATGGCCGCATCCCCTGGAACTGCAACCCTGGAAATCCCTTGGCGGGTAGGGGGAAGCGAAGCGGGGGCTTTTCAGCATAGGAAGTGGGCTGGTGGTGTCCCTGTCCCATGTCCCCTGTGCCCTCTGCAGGATGACAAGGAGTACGTGGGCTTTGCCACGCTGCCCAACCAGGTGCATCGCAAGTCTGTGAAGAAGGGCTTTGACTTCACCCTCATGGTGGCAGGTACGGGGCTCCAGCCGGCCTGGGGGTGCTGGCCCCCCTTTGCATCCCAAACACCCTGCACTGGGGAGGGGGATCCTGGCTGCTCCCTCATCTTTGTCCTGCTTTCTCAGGGGAATCGGGGCTGGGCAAGTCCACCCTGGTCAACAGCCTCTTCCTGACGGACATGTACAGGGACCGCAAGCTGCTCAACGCTGAAGGTCAGGGGGACAGTCACGCTCCACAGGGGTGTCCTGGGTGACCAGGGCGGTGGCAGAGCCCTGGGATGCTCCTGGGGGCTGCAGCCCCTCTCCCTGGCCAGGCAGGCTCCCCTGAAATGACATGTGCTGTTTTGCCAGCTGCCCACTGGCACTAGGGATCGCTCTGAGGCAGTGGGGAGCCCCCTGCACAGGATGGGGACCTCCCACAGGGACTTTATTTCCACAGGGAAAACAAGCCCTGGCTTGCTGGGGATTGGCTGGAGCTGCAGCATTTCTGGGAGGCTGGGGACAGTCAGGGCGTGGGGCAGAGTGCCAGTTCAGCTGCAGCCAATTTTTGAATTAAAATGGCCCAAACTTGCCCAAATCCCCAGGAGTTCGAGGGGTTTGTTTGATTTGTTTCCGTTGCTTGGAGTGAAAGCCAAAACACACAATGCAGCATCCTTGGGGATGCAGGGACATGGAGGGTCCTGGGGTGAAGGGGCACGTGCAGCCTGGAGCTGTGGGGTCACCTGAAATGCTCCTGCAGCAAGGCCCAGCCCCAGCAGACCCCTGTGCTGCCTGAGCTGGGGTCCTGGGCTGGCAGTGGCACCACCACCAAGGCATGAGTGCCCATCCATGGGCATGTGGAGACTATGGAGCATCCTCTCCCGGGCTGGAGCATGCCGTGTGTCAGGGCTGATCCAGCCAGGTCACACAGGGTGGGGGATGACACTTGGTGTCTCCCCTGGTGACATGTGTCCCTCCCTGCAGAGCGCATCACGCAGACGGTGGAGATCACCAAGCACGTGGTGGACATCGAGGAGAAGGGGGTCAAGCTGCGCCTGACCATCGTGGACACACCAGGCTTCGGGGACGCCGTCAACAACACCGAGTGGTGAGTGCTACAGGGTGGGGACCGTCCCAGGGTGGGTGGGATGCTGAGTGCCACAGGGTGGGGGTCTCCCCAGGGTGGACACCTCGTGGTGGGTGGGATGCCCATGGTTCGCTGGGCTTAGGTGCTGAGCCATGGAGATACTGAGCCGGGGGTCCACAGAGAGCAGGGGGATCTCACAGAGGACTCGGTGTCACCTCGCTGTCCCTGCAGCTGGAAGCCAGTGGCCGACTACATTGACCAGCAGTTCGAGCAGTATTTCCGTGACGAAAGTGGCCTCAACCGGAAAAACATCCAGGACAACCGAGTGCACTGCTGCATCTACTTCATCTCGCCCTTCGGCCACGGGTACGGGCGGCCCTGCCGTGCAGCCAGGGCACCGGGGCTCGGTGGGACAGGGCTCACCAGGCTCCCCCCGCAGGCTCCGGCCCCTGGACGTGGAGTTCATGAGAGCTCTGCACCAGCGCGTGAACATCGTGCCCGTGCTGGCCAAGGCTGACACCCTGACCCCTGCCGAGGTGGAGCGCATGAAGAACAAGGTGAGGGGAGGTGGGCCAGCTGGGAGCTGTCCCAGCAGGTCCCTGGGCATGGAGTTGCCCTGGGGTCTCCATCCATTTCCTGTCTGGAATTTGCTCTGGAGCATTTCCTAAGCTCGAAGCACTGTAGAGGACCATGTTGCCCCCATGGCCACCAAGGACACATCTGCCCAGGGCTCAGCTGGGGGTTGGAAGGACTGGGGGGTGCCCGTGACATCTGGTCTGGTGGGACCAGGCTTTTGGGTGCCATTGGCCCTGTGTGGCATCGCCCACACCCTTCCTGAGGCTGGAGCCCTGCCCTCAGGGGGCTGTTTGCCTCCAGATCCGGGAGGAGATCGACCACTACGGCATCCGCATCTACCAATTCCCTGAGTGCGACTCGGACGAGGACGAGGAGTTCAAGTTGCAAGACCAGGCACTGAAGGTGGGTCTGGCTCCTCCAGCTCTGTCACTGGAGGGGCAGAGCCCTGTGGCCAGGAGGACACGTCACCCTGGGGTACCTGCAGGACTCTTTGGGGCCACACAAGCTCCCCAGCATGGAGGGGCTGGCACATATCTCACTAGCCAGACATGTCACCAAGATCCCACAGGTGAATTTACAGCTTGGTGGAGTGGGGGTTGGGTGGGGAAAACCCATGCCATGACCTCTGCTGTCCCACTGGGGCTCTCCACAGCCGGGCCTTTGGAATAACTTGGCTGACACGGCTGAGGAGGACACGTGGAGGACTGCGGGTCCTGGCAGATGGGGGTCATGGCAGGGCCCGCTGATCCCCCCCGCCCTTGCAGGAGAGCATCCCCTTCGCCGTCATCGGCAGCAACACGGTGGTGGAGGCCAAGGGCCGGCGCGTCCGCGGGCGCCTCTACCCCTGGGGCATCGTGGAAGGTAACGCTGGGCTGTCCCCGGCGCCCTCCGGCCTTTGGGGACGGGGACACCCCGGGGCTGGGACGGGCTGTGGCCCCCTGACCCCGCGTCCCCCGCAGTGGAGAACCCGTCCCACTGCGACTTCGTGAAGCTGCGGACGATGCTGGTGAGGACGCACATGCAGGACCTGAAGGACGTGACGCGGGAGACGCACTACGAGAACTACCGCACGCAGTGCATCCAGAGCATGACCCGCATGGTGGTCAAGGAGCGGAACCGCAAGTACGGGCCGGGCTGGGCCGGGGGGTTCCTGTCCCCGGGGTGTCACGGGTCAGGGCTGAGCCCGGTGTGGTGCAGGGCTCCTCCTGTGTCCTTGGGCTGGGAGCGCCTGCAGGGATGCTCCTGCAGCCCCCGAGGCTGGGTCTGTCTTACCTGAGACACCCCAGCAGTGAGGGGCAGCATGTGGCCCCGGGGTGCCTGGGGCAATGCTCTGGTAGCAACGGGGACCCTGCACCTCCCCAGAGCTGGGGCTGGTTTGAGGGGCATGTGCCAGCAGTGTCTCCAGGGCTGGGGCTGGGGCCAGGGGTGTGCTCTGGCAGCAAGGGGGACTGTGTGTCCCCTCTGGGCTGGGTGTGTCTTGGGGGATGCTTCAACACCTTCCCAGTTCCCATCCCTATTCTCATCCACATTTCCAGTTTTCCATTCCCAGTTTCACATTCCTTGTCCCCATTCCCAGTTTCCCATTCCCATTTCCCATTCCCATTTCCCATTTCCCATTCCCAGTTTCCCATTCCCAGTTTCCCATTCCCATTCTTTTTCCTAGTTCCCATCCCCATTCTCATCCCCATTCCCAATTCCCATTCCCAGTTCCTAGTTCCCATCCCCTTTCTGTTTTGATCCTGCATCCCCCTGGGGCTGGCTGTGGGGGGATGCTCCAACAGGGAGGGGGCCCTTGCACCCTCGCAGGCTCCAGCACCAGAGCAAGAGCACAACAAAAGCCAGTGCTGGGGCTCTGCTCGTGGGTCAGCCGAATTCACAGCACCCACATCCGCTTTAGCCACCTCGAGGTGCTGAGGGAGCCCCCACAGGCAGGGTCCCCGGTGGGACCCTCCAGCCAGGGGTCAGAGCAGTGTGGGAGCGAGTGGAGGCTCTGTGGGTCTGAAGCTGTGCTGTGGGGGCTGGCAGTGGCTGCAGGCACCTCTAAGTGTCTCTCCCTGTGTGCCCCGGGGCAGGAGCCATCCCTCGGTGCTGAGGCTGTGCTGCGGGGACTGCTCCACTGACTGAGCCGGGAGCGGTGCGCTGGCCCTCGCCCTGCTCCCCCTGCCACCCCCTGGCCCCTCTATAAAAGTGCTTGTGGTACCCAACGCTGTCTTGGTCCTTCTGTGCCTGTGCAAGGCCCAGGCAGCTGCCCTCGGGGCGAGCTGGCCCTGTGGCCACCCACTCTGGCCCTGTGGCCACCCACTCGTGTCCCACACAAGCTGCCCTCGGAGTGCCAAAGGACGTTGTGTGCCAGTGGTGTCACCCCGGCTCACTCAGGTTTGGGAATGTGTCACTGTTTGGTGGCACTAAGGGCTGCCCAAGGGACAGGTGCCCCCGTCGTGCTGCCCTCCCAGGGATGCGATTTTGGGGTGCCGAGAGCCGCTCACCCCATTGCTGGTGCCTGGCTCCAGCGTCGTGGTGCTGGCAGGAGCTGCACGCGCTCCCCACGACTCCCACGGCCAAAGCCGAGACAAGGGCAGCGCCTTCCAGAGCGGCTCCCGGGGCGGCCAAACCCCGTCCCTGGTCCCTGGCGCTGGCCCAGCCCCCGGCACAGCACAGCGGGACCCGAGGGCAGGGATGGATTGTCCTGCCCGTGCCCCACCCGTGTCCATCACCCCTTTGCCCGGAGGGGCCGCGCAGGCGGTGGCACGTGGCGGTGGCATGTGGCAGCACGCGTGACCCTGCCAGCCGCTGTTGGTGTCCCGGCCTTGTCACCCGCTGGAGTGGCTCGTGGCATCCACAGGGGACGGGTGGGAGAGCCGATCCCTGCCAGTGCCAGGGGCATGGCAGGAGCCATCGACTGGCCTGGGTCCTGCGTGGCGGCGTGGCCTCGGGGGGATGCTCGCGGCTCTCTCCAGCTGGAATGGGCCTGAATTGGGGCAGAGGCTTGGGAAAAGGGTGTGGGGCATCCCTGGGGCTGGCAGGGCGGTGGAGTGCCTAGAGAGCCCATCCTGAGGCCAAGGGACAGAGGGGAGATGCCGAGGTTTTGATGTTTTAAAGCAGCAGGGAAAACACTCTCCCAGGAGAGCCCAGCTGCTGTGGGATTCTCCCCAGAATGGGGTGTGGAGAAAGTCCCTGGGTCCCCCCCTTGGTTGATGCATGGCCTTTTTGGGGTCTGGGGCCGCTCACATCTCCCTTGCCTGGAAAAAGCCACTCTGATGATGGCCATGGGGCCCAGGGGCTGTGTGGGAGAGCTGGGGACCTGCAGGGGTTGGGGCATCCTCAGAGGAATGTCCCTGGGGGGCTGGGGCAGCACCCTCACCTCCGCTCTCTGCCCACAGCAAGCTGACCCGGGAGAGTGGCACAGACTTCCCCATCCCCGTGATCCCGCCGGTGCCGGACGTGGAGACGGAGAAGCTCATCCGGGAGAAGGATGAGGAGGTGAGTGTGGGGCAGGCTGAGCACCCAAACCTCCGTCCCCATTCCCTCCAGCCCACAGCCATCAGGAGCCACCCTTCCTGCAGCAAGCCGGCGGCTGCTGCTCCAGCCAGCAGCGTCTGGAGGTGCATCCGAGGGTTCCTCCCTGGCTGCTGGCGATCCCAGTTTGTCTGGGATGCTCAACACGAGCCTCATCTGCACGGGAGCGTGGCTGGGGCTTGGCACCATCCACGATCCTGGCTCTGCTCCCTTCCAGCTGCGGCGGATGCAGGAGATGCTCCAGAAGATCCAGAAGCAGATGAAGGACTCGCACTAGCCCATTCCTCCTCCTCCTCCTCCTCCTCCTCCTGGCCCCGATCAGAAATGTTTACATCACGCTCCACCGCCCGGCCCTGCTGCCAGACTCGGTACCAACACCCACCCACAACCTTAAGCTGCGGCATCGCCTTATCCAACCTCCCAGCGCCCGAGGGGACAGCGTGGGGACACGAGGGGACAGCTCACCGTCACTCACTGGGCACAGCTTGGTCCCCCAAGCTTTGGTATCCCGTTTCTCCACAGCTCTGGCCAGCCTGGTCCCCACAGCATGATCCTTGTCCCCGTGTCACCCTGGGCTCCCTGCTTACAGCCTTTATGCTCACCTGGCTTAAGGGAAGAGGAAAGGGGGACACTGGTGCCAGCCCCCCAAAGGCCCCAGCTGCTGTGGGGAACCGGGCTGTTCCCCTGGCCTTGGCTGGCATGGAGGGACAGCAACTCCTGGGGACCACGGGGGACAGAGGGGATGGAGGGACAGCCACCATCCTGCTCCGTGCCAGCACCAGTGCAGGGGGACTGAAGCTTGTCAGTGTCCAGCCCTGTGTCCTCACCTTGTCCCCACTGATGACAGCAGGGCACAAGGAGCACTGGGGAATCAACGTCCCCAGGGAAAATCCCTTGAACCCCAAATCAGAGGCTGGGCACCCCCAGCCTGCCGTGATGTTGGCCCTGTAAAGCAATAATGAGTGTCCTGTGCCCATGGCACCTCTCACCCCATGGCAACAGCACCGACCCTGGCTGGAATTTCAGCCCCTGCTGCCACTTGTTTGTCTGTGGTGTCCTGTGTGCCCAGGATGTCCTTGTCCCTGCTGCTTCTTGGCACAGCAGCCCTGTGCATTCTCCAAGGATTTCCCTGTCTGTGCTGCTTCCCAGCGAAGCGCTGCTGCGTGTCCCCATGTCCCCCATGGTGTCCCCATGTTCCCCACCATGTCCTGGTTGGTATTGCTGCCCTACTCAGACTTTCCCCATCTGTGTTGCTTTCCCACAGAACTATGTTGCATCCCTGTGTCCCCTGGGATGTTCCCAGCCATGTCACCACCCTGCAGGGCTCTGTGTAGTGTCCCTGTGTCCCCAAGGATGTCCCCAGCTTCCTGCAAAGCCCCACTGTGTGTCCCCAGGGTGAGCTCTGCTGTGTCTCGCAGCATCCCTGGGGAGATGGATCCAAGCCCCTCCTGGGTGTGGGAAAGCCCACAGGGGATGGTGAGGATGCAGGCAGGACTGGGAGTGGTGGGATCAGTGGGATCAGTGGGAGCTCTCTGGCGTGGGGATGTCCCCATCAGTGCCCCTGAGCCGGGGTCCCCCAGGTGGGGCGTGCCTGGTGGGTCTGTGCCCGGCCGGGGGTCAGGGATTGGGGCTGCAGGGTGCCAGGGCAGCACCCGGCCTGTGTCCCCCGTGTCCCCGTGCCAGCAGGGGTCCCGTGGGCAGGGCCCCTCCAGGCAGGGCCCTGCAGGGAATCTTTAGCGCTTTCCTTTTTTTAATCTCGCTATTTTCTTACAGAAGCCCCTCCCTTGGCATGATGGTCCTAGAGGCGTTTATTAATGGATCAGAGAGTATAGGTTTATAAATTCTTATAGAGTAGTGGAAATATTTTTATCCCTCCACAACCGTTCTCAATAAATACAGCTGACCTGGCTTGTCTGCAACCCCTTGTGGCATCCCCTGGCCCTGGGCATCCCCTGGCCCTGGGCACCCACTTTCTGAGGCTGGTGGTGGCCCACCCTGTGGGCTTTTGATCCCAATTCCTGTTCCTTTGGAAAAGGCTCAGAATGGACACTGAGGGGTTTGTGCTGCACTCACAGGGACACCCAGCTTAGGGTGTGGCGGGAGAGCCCCTTGGGATCCAGCTCTGGGATAAGGGCCACAAGGAGGGCTGTCCCCCTCTCATGTGCCTTGGGGTGCTGGGTGCTGCTGGTGTGGGGCTGGGATGGGAGCAGGGGATGGAATTGCCCTTCACATGCTGTCCCTGGGTGTCCCCCCACCGGTGGGGAGCCCTGCCAGGAGACACCTCCAGTACCTGTGCCCAGTCACCCCCATTTGGGTCCCCCAGGACCTGCTGGGTGGAGGAGCAGGAGGGGTGGGCAGAGCAGCACAGAGATGGATGGGCTGCATCTCCAGCTGCCTCCCAGAGGGCATCATCCACCTGCATCCCATTATCCCACCCTGCTCCCCGGTATCCCAAACCCTGCCCCTCCCTCTCCTCCCCACAGAGCCCTCAGGCTGATCCAGCCCAGCTGAGTGCAGGGGCAGGGACCTGGGGCAGAGCCACTCCCAGGGACAACAGAGGCTGGGGAGGGATGGATGATGAATGGATGATGGATGATGGATGTATAGATGGATGATGGATGGATGATGGATGGATGATGGATGGATGGATGAGAACTGGGGGTTCTGCTGGGTGACAAATGGGACATTGTGGGAAGATTATGTCATCTGCAACAGGACATGACCTGGCCGTGGGTGCTGGCAGCCCAGGAAGCCAAGTGTGTCCTGGACTTATCCCATGAGGGTGGGCAGCAGGGGAGGGAGGGGATGCTCCCCTCTGCTCTGCTCTCCTGAGACCTCTCTGGAGCTGCCTCCAGCTCATCCCAGCACAGATATGGAGCTGGTAGAGCAGGCCCAGAGGAGGCTACCAAAATGGTCTGAAGTGGTCCATGGTCTCTGCTGTGGAGGAAAGCTGCCTTGTGGGACCTGCCAGCCCCACCCACTGCTCTGCTGCCAACCACTTCTCCCCTTGCTGAGGGTCAGAGCACAGATCCCACCTCCTTGGGGTCCTTCCCTCCTTTACCAGCACTGCCTCAGCCCCACCTTGCTTGGCCCAGGGTGCTGAGCCCCACTGTGGCTGAGGTGCCAATTCCTGCTGTTCACCAGGCAAACCCCCCCATCCTCCCCTATTAACCCTCTTATCAACATGGGAATGGAAAATGTTTGTGCTTCCTCGGCTAGAAGCAGCTCTCTCCCCAGAGACTGGGATACACAAACCTCCCAAATCCCACCATTGCAGCTCCAATAAGGATCCCCTGGCTGCCTCTTCCTCCCCAGAACAGCCAGCAGAGCCTCTGCCTTTGGTCCTAGACTGGCTGATTTACCCAGTTCCTCTTCCCAGAGGATAAAACCCAGCACTGATGCTCCAGTGCCATCCCCAGCTGTGCCCACCCTTCCCTGCACTCCATTCCATGTGATTTTCATCACACCTTTAAAAATAAAAAGCCCCAAACCCACTCAAACCCAGCCTTCCCAAGGCAGAGACTGATATTTCCACATGGCAAATGCTTCCATGCAATTCCCCAGTGTCCTATTTTTGGTTTCTCACCAGTCCTGGCACTGGTTGCAGCATCCGTGCTGGAGCTCCAGCCGAGCTTGGAGGAAGGGAATAAAGGTTTCTTAGGGCAGAAAAGGAAACCTCCCATCTCCTTCCATGGGCTGTGCCTGACACCTAATGCGACCTCAGGTGACATCAGTCCTGTTGTTTCCTTTCCCCCTTCCTTTCCATTTCCATTTTCCCCTTCCCTATTTATTTATTTATTCCTTATAGAATTAATTATATTTTCCCCTATGGGAGAGCCCCATCAGCCCCACCTCCTCCCATCTTTTCAAATCCAGAAACCAAGGCACTGCCTCCAGCTCTTTCCCCCCATCTCTAGTACCTCTTCTCCACTTGTCACATCCATTCCTGGTACCATCTCTCCTGGATCCAGGGGAGCCAGGAGCAGTCATTCCCATTGCTCCCATTCCTGTTTCTCCTGGATCCAGGGGAGCCAGGAGCAGTCATTCCGATTATTCCCATTCCTGTTTCTCCTGGATCCAGGGGAGCCAGGAGCAGTCATTCCCATTGCTCCCATTCCTGTTTCTCCTGGATCCAGGGGAACCAGGAGCAGTCATTCCAATTATTCCCATTCCTGTTTTTCCTGGATCCAGGGGAGCCAGGAGCAGTCATTCCCATTATTGCTCCCATTCCTGTCATTCCGATTGTGCCCAGCTCCATCTGTGTGCCTGGGAGCTGCTGGCTGGAGGTGACAGCCCTTCCCCTCTTCTGGCAGCTGTGATGAGGGTTTGAGATGCTGTGTCTGAACACATCCAGAGGATGCTCCTGATGGAGCAGGTAGCCCTTGGATCTCCTGTTCAGGGCAGGAGGAGCTCAGAGAAGTGAAACCCCACTGCTGCTGCTCTGCCCCTCCTGTAAAGGCAGCTAAACCATCCCTGAATTACCTTCCAGCCAGAAAATAGGACACAGGGTGGAGCCTCCAGCCAGCTCCAGCTCTTCCATACCTTTGCCCACTTCCCTGTTCCCCACAGCCAGTGTGGAAAGACCAGACCAAGAGCTTGACAGGTTTCTCATGCTGGGAGAGCTGGGGGTGCTCACCTGCAGAGGAGAAGGCTCCAGGGAGAGCTCAGAGCCACTTCCAGAGCCTAAAGGGGCTCCAGGAGAGCTGGAGAGGGACTGGGAACAAGGGATGGAGGGACAGGATGCAGGGAATGGCTTCCCCTGCCAGAGAGCAGGGATGGATGGGATATTGGGAAAAAACTTTTCCCTGTAACGGTGGTGAGGCTGTGGTGGGCACATGAGAACACGACATGAACAGATGGATATGCAATTGCAGCCTCGTCTTTACTTGCAGAAGAAGCCACCTGTGGCTGTGGATTCTGGGAAGCTCCAGGAGATGCCTTTACTGACACGTGATGTTATTTCTGGAGCTTCCCTGAAAAACCCCAAGAGTTGCTGTATTTTGTGAAGATAATGCCCATTTCCACGAGACCCAGCAGGAACAATGCTGAGAGGCTTGGGAGCAGCAGCCGTTCCTCCCCTTGGTGCTGATGGCATTGAAGATGCCAACATGAAGCACAGGGGCCGAGCAGAACAGGCAGGGAAAGGCTCCCTCCGTGTGGAAGGGGACAAGGTGCCCCTGTCCTGGCTCTGCCCAGGAGCACAGGCAGAGCCCCTCGGTTCTGGCTGTTTTTGGAGAAACAGCACCATCTATTTGCAGCACCAGAGGAGAGGGGACACGGTGGGTGCCCCTCAGCAGGATTAGGGATCCCACCCTGGAGCAGCAGCCTCTAGGACATTCCTGACCCCCAGAGCCTCCTGCAGCCCTGGGGACACCTGGGGCTTGCTCCAGGCCCAGGGCAGGAGTTGCAGGACACATGTGCAGGAGCAGGGAGGGGAGAGTCTCCAGGCTGGGGGCTCAGCTCAGCTTTGGGTCTCTTCTTCCCAGGCAGACTCTGCCCTTCCTCTCCATGCACGGAAACGAGGACTCCCACCCTCGGGGCCCCACAGGACTCAGGGACCACATTTCTCCACATTTCTTCATCACTGGCTCAAAGAGGCTCCAGCCCCTGAGGCATCAGAGGTCTTGGGAAGGTGTTGGCCCCACAGCACCAAGGAGGAGATTGCCAGGCCAGCCCCAGCTTTGCTCCAGGGGCTGAAGCTGTCCCTAACCCAGCCCATCCCCACTTCCACACCCACCTCAGAACCCCTCAGAATGGACCCCAACGTGTTGTGAGTGACAGAAGTGACCTAGGATCACCTGTTCCAGCCTCACCATGGAACTGGGAGCAATGAAGAAGATCTGATTTATTAAACCTGCTGGGAAAAGGGTACAAGGGGTGGCCTGGGGCCTTCAGAGCTCACGTGGAGAAACGGCTACTTCTTCTTGCGACGTCTGGTGTTCATT